TGCTTCCCATATAGACTAGGACTTCGATCTCTATTATGTCTCTCTCTATTATCTTTTTCACTGCTGTGGTTCCGATCGGCAATACGAGTGGTGCGGGCGACTATATAAATAATCCGGCATCAAATCATTAGGCCGGGCGCACGTTATTAAACGCCGGATATAAAACATGACCTTAAATAACCGAATCTATTCATTTAGTCCTAATTCCTAATTCTTTTTGTTGTTGAATCATACATAATATTATACAATCCGTGAAGCTATAATAAATTTTACAAAATGGGTGGTGGAGATCTGGTAAGTCCTTCAAAGCTTTTCTTTTGATCATACCTTTCTCTTACAATGTCAAATTACACCTCACTCAACATCTCTATTCCATGTTATACAGAATATGAAAAAATCATGGCATCCGCTTTTGATCAAGAATCAAGAGCGGGTCTGGAAAGAAGAGCAAAAAGCTGCCGAAGAGCAGAAAAAACTCGAGCAGTTAAGAAAGGAGAAAGAGGAAGAAAGACAGCTGCAAGAATTAAGGAGGTTACAAGAGGAGGCTGGCGGAAAGTAAGCATTTAGCTCATCTTTTACATGTGTTAGCCTTTTAATTTGATCTCGATTTCATCTTTAATCAAGTCTTTTTTTTTCCTAACGAATAAGGAAGGGAATTGAAAGATTAGAATGGATGTATGCGGCAGGTCCAAATCAATCTAGCTCCGGACAAGCACAAGAAATGGAAGAATATTTGCTTGGCAAGAAACGAATAGATTCTCTTATAACACAAGGAAATACAGTAAGCCAGGTAGGTATTTGAAGAATCGATTGGACTATGCGTGGTGTGATCAAATCTTTAACTATTTCTATTTTTTAGCTTTCCAACCAGTCAACCGATATATTTATAAGTGCAATGAATCCCAATGCTAATACATATCGTGATACACAAGCGAAAATTCGCGAAGATCCATTGTTGGCAATCAAGAAAATGGAACAAGATACTATAAAATCTATTGTAACTAATCCTATAAAAATGAAAGAATTAAAAAAGGCAAGTTTCAGTGTTGTATTATTTTTATATCTTGGCTCTTGTTTGTTTAATAAATTCATATTGGGATTTTCCTCTTCATTAGAAATCGAAAAAAGAAAAGAATGGTAAAAAACATAAGGATAAAAAAGACAAGAGTGAAAAAGATAATAGAGAGAGACGTAGTAGAAATATAAGTCCTAGTCCGTATAGGATGCATCGATCTGAGGATCGGAACCACAGCAGTGAAAAAGATAATAGAGAGAGACATAATAGAGATCGAAGTCCTAGTCTATATGGGAAGCA